TTTTTTTTTTTTTTTTAAAATTTTGTTTAATTTTGGTTTTTGCTTTTTTTCTGGACAAGGTTTCTCTGTGTAGCCCTGGCTGTCCTGGAACTCCCTCAGTAGATCTGCTTCTGCCTCCTGACTGCTGGGAATAAAGAAATGTATCACCATTCCTGGCTCTCTCTCTCTCTCTCTCTCTCTCTCTCTCTCTCTCTCCTTCCTCTCTTCCTTCCCTCAGCTTTATTTGTAGGATGGAGAGATAACTCAGTGGTTAAGAGCAGGCTGCTCTTCCAGAAGAATGCAGCACCCACATATCAGCTCATAGCTGTCTGTAACTCCAATTCCAAGGGATCTGACATCCTCTTCTGGCTTCCAGGGCATCAGATATACAGACATACAAGCAAAATATTCATATACATTAAATAAAACTATTATTAGCCAGGTGATGGAGACTCGCGCCTGTAATCCCAGGCCACAGGGTAACTTTGCATGGGTCCTAGAAATCAAACCCAGTTGACCGGGCTTATGTGGCAAGAGTCTTTATCCACGGACACATCTCACTGGCACTTCTCTTTAATTTTTGAGACAGTGGCTCACTGATGTAGACCAGGCTAGCCTGGAACTCCCTGTGGAGCCCAGGCTGACCTAGACCTCTTGACTGGCCTCCCTGCCTCAGCCTCCTAAGTTCTATGTGCTTACAGAAGTGAACACCAACAATCAGCTCCCACACATCCCCTTTCTTTCTCTTCCCTTCCTTACTTTCCCGGTCATTAGAGTTTTAGTAATCATGTTGCAGATGGATGGAAACTGACTTCGTGATTCTTCCCAAGGACACTTCTTTCTGGCTGAATCTAGACAGGTGGCTGCTGGGACTTTGACACAGAGGGGGTGGTGACATTCTGGCCGATTCCCCTATTTCTTGCATTGTACCCCTCTCTTCTCTGCTCACTATTCTTTACCTTTGCCCTAGTTCACACAACACTTATTCAAAAAAAAAAACCATAAGAGTACACACTTTCTTTTTTTAAGTTCAAGATAAGGTTTCTCTGTGTAAAAGACCCAGATGTCCTGGAACTCACTTTGTAGACCAAGCTGGCCTTGAACTCAGAGAGATCCACCTGTCTCCACCTCCCAAGTGCTGAGATTAAAGGTGTGTGCATTTGCTGAATCCTTTGGATCTAATATCTTTCTTTGAATCTCTCAGTTCAGGGACTGGAGAGATGGCTCAGCAGTTAAGAGCATTTGTTGCTCTTCCAAAGGACCCCAGTGCAGTTCCAAGCAGCTCACAATCACTTGTAACTCTAGTTCCAGGGGATTTGACACAGTGGTAGACTTACACACATAGACATATGCATACATATACGTGTGTGTGTGTGTGTGTGTGTTAATCTTAAAAGTAAGTTTCCAGTCATAATTTGGTGATAGGATTCTAAATTCAAAATGACTTTTTCTGATTTGATACAGTCAACTGTCATATAACCACAAAATAATGGGTTCTTCCACTTGAAATGGACTCTGGTAATTTTGACAATACACTGAAAAGACGATTCTAGTAAATATTTCATGACTTTTAACACATTTAGTATTTTCGCTTTGGATAAGATTCTTGACGCCGGGCGGTGGTGGCGCACGCCTTTAATCCCAGCACTTGGGAGGCAGAGGCAGGCGGATCTTTGTGAGTTCGAGACCAGCCTGGTCTACAAGAGCTACTTCCAGGACAGGCTCCAAAACCACAGAGAAACCCTGTCTCGAAAAACCAAAAAAAAAAAAAAAAAAAAAAAGATTCTTGGTAGACCAAAACAAAAAACAAACAAACAAACAAAAAAACAATCCAGAGGCCTTGTTAGGGAGCAGGCATTAGAAGCATTCTAAAATTTGGCTTCAGGAGGAATCAAGATGCGAAATCAGCCATCTTTAAGAACATCCCTGGCAGGGCAATGCTGTGCATTTTGCACATGATATGTTCTGATTTAAAGTAAGTTCGGCTTTCACCGCCTACTTACTGATCTGGTATATGATTTTACTATGTCATGAGGAACCACACATTGTTTTGTTCTGCTTGTAGCCCTGGCTGAATTTGAACTCACAGAGATCACTGCCTTCCAGTGCTGTGATTAAAGGCATGGACTACCATGCCCAGCTAGGAACCACGGATTTTCTACAGTGTAACTTCTAAAGTAATTTTACCTATTTGTTTAGGGGGGTTGGATCTGTTTGTTTGTTTTTCGAGCCAGGGTTTCTCCGTGTAACAGTTCTGGCTGTCCTGGAACTCACTGGTCTTGAACTCACAGAGATCTGCCTGCTTCTACCTCTTGACTGCTGGGATTAAAGGCATGTGTCACCACTACTGGCTCATCTATTTCTTTTTGTCTACACTAAGCTCTTGTTTCTTAACTTGATTCATAGTTGATGCGCCATTTTAAAAATCTACTTGTAGCCGGGCGATGGTGGCGCACGCCTTTAATCCCAGCACTCGGGAGGCAGAGGCAGGCGGATCTCTGTGAGTTCGAGACCAGCCTGGTCTACAGAGCTAGTTCCAGGACAGGCTCCAAAGCCACAGAGAAACCCTGTCTCGAAAAACCAAAAAAAAAAAAAAAAATCTACTTGTGTGTGTGGCACAGGCACTCTCAGAGGCCAGGAGAGGGCGCTGGGTCTGCTGGAACAGGAGTTACAGGCTATTGTGAACCCCCTGGCAGGTCTTCTGTCAGAGCAGAAAGCACTCTTAACCTCCACGTCATCTCTCCAGGCCTCTGCACACTCCCACCTCTTGAGACAAAGTCTATGTAGTCCAGGCTGGCTTTGCACTTAAAATAATCTTCTCGTCTCTTCCAAGACCTGGAATTACAGCATGTGCTACCATACCTGGAATTACAGCATGTGCTACCATACCTGGAATTACAGCATGTGCTACCATACCTGGAATTACAGCATGTGCTACCATACCTGGAATTGCAGGCATGTGCTACCTACCATACCTGGAATTACAGCATGTGCTACCATACCTGGAATCACAGGCATGTGCTACCATACCGGAATCGCAGGCATGTGCTACCGTACCTGGAATCGCAGGCATGTGCTACCGTACCTGGAATCGCAGGCATGTGCTACCGTACCTGGAATCGCAGGCATGTGCTACCGTATCTGGAATCGCAGGCATGTGCTACCGTACCTGGAATCGCAGGCATGTGCTACCATACCTGGCCCTCTTATGCTTTCAGAGAGCAGTTTGTCTTCCTTTAAACTCTTTTTCATGCTAATAAGAATATGACCAGGCCGTGGTGGCACACATCTTTAATCCCAGTACTCGGGAGGCAGAGGCGGGTGGATCTCTGTGAGTTCAAGGCCAGACTGGTCTACAAAGGGAGTTCCAGGACAGGCTCCAAAGCTACAGAGAACACTGTCTCAGAAAGAAAAGAAAAAGCAATAGCTAGACATATTCTATACAGTGAGTGAGTTCCAAGTCATCCAAGATAATATAGCAAGACCTTGTCTCAAAAACAAACAAAGAAAGAAAGAAAAAATGGTAGTAGAAATGGAGGCAATTTATTAAGAATGAGGAAGGAGACAGATGGTGGGAAAAGGCATACACTCTGTACAAAACACCATGACCAAAAAGCAAGTTGGGGCCGGGCGGTGGTGGCGCATGCCTTTAATCCCAGCACTTGGGAGGCAGAGGCAGGTGGATCTCTGTGAGTTCGAGACCAGCCTGGTCTACAAGAGCTAGTTCCAGGACAGGCTCCAAAACCACAGAGAAACCCTGTCTCGAAAAAAAAAAAACACACACACACACAACAACAACAACAAAAAAAGCAAGCTGGGGAGGAAAGGGTTTATTTGGTTTACACTTCCAGATCATAATCCATCACTGGAGGAAGTCACAACAAGGAACTGAAGCAGGTCTGGAACCTGGAGGCAGGAGCTGATGCAGAAGCCATGGAGGGGAGGTGCTTCCTGGCTCACTTCCTCAGGCTTGCTCAGTTCACCTCTAGCCCAGGGATGGTGCCATCCACCATGGGTCCTACCCATTGATCACCAATTGAGAAAACTCCTTACGGCTGGATTTCACAGAGGCATTTCCTCAAATGAGACTACTTCTTTTCAGGTGACTCTAACTTGTGTTGAGTTGACACACAAAGCCAGTACACACTCAAAATCCAAAACACATTTCTCTTTATTGGTTTGGGAGGTTCAAGGCAGAGTTTCTTATGTATTCCTGCCTGTCCTGGGACTTGCTCTGTAAACCACAGAGCCTCGAACTCACAGAGATCTGACTGTACTACCATTGCCCTGCTAACATCTTATTTTCATTTATTGGTTGTTTGGGAATTGAACCTACAGCCTTTTACATGCTAAGCAACTGGGGTTGGATCCAGGATATTGTGTAGCTAGGCTGGTTCTCGGCCAATACAGACCCAGCCCTACACAGAAATCTGAGGACACTATCGGTCATTTCATTTATTTTCACCTATGTATTTATTTTTGGTTCTGTATTTTTAAAAATGATTTATTTATTTTTATTTTATGTGTAGTGGTGTTTTGCCTGCAAGTATCTGTGTGAAGGTGTGGGATCCCTGGAGGTAGTTACAGGCAGTTAATGTAGGCTGCCATGTGGGTGCTGGGAATTGAACCCAGGTCCTCTGAAAGTTGCCAGTGCGCTTAACCACTGAATCATCTCTCCAGCCCAACATGGGAGGTGGCTCTCACCTTCCACCGTGTGAGTCCTAGGGGTGGAATTCAGATTTTTCACTCTTGGAGGTAAGAGCTTTTAGAGGCTGAGCAATCTCAGGGACTTTATAGACTTTTTAGACAACACTAAAGCCAAGGGCAGAACCTAACGCACACAGACAGAGTAGGAGCGACTTGACCGCTAGGGAGCGCAGCACACCAGGGGCCTTCAATCGAACGCGGCGCCGGGGGCGGGGACAATCGAAGCCCCGCCCCTCCGTCTGCGGTGCCCTGTGATTGGAAGAGGAAGCCATTATTTAGTAGCGCCGTTTGGGTGGGCGGGAGAAGAGGGCCGGCCGAATGTGACGCGGTGTTGGCGGAGGTGCGGGGCTCCGCGGCACTCCGGGCGGTGGATGGCGGTGGGATGGAGCCCGAGGGGAGCGGCGGCGGCGGGTCGGCCGGGCTCATGCAGCAGATCCTCAGCCTGAAGCTCGTGCCACGAGTGGGCAATGGGACCCTGTGCCCCAACTCCACTTCGCTCTGCTCCTTCCCAGGTACGCCCCGCCCCGCGCCTGCGCATTGCGCACCTGTCGCCGGCCGTCCTCTGGGCGAGGCCGAGGCAGCCTCGGAACCGCCACCCGGGTCCCTTGGGGCGACGCCTCTCCTGTTCTAGGGACTACCCCTAAACTGCCTTCCCGAGCCTGTCTGCTGACCCTGTCCTTTGACTCTGTCCTACCCCCATCTCCGCTCCTGCTTGTCTTTGCAGGAATCACTTGCTCAAACCTGTTGCGGGTTCTCCCACCCACATCTTGAAGAACTTAGACACAACTTCTGAATTGCTCTTACCTCCCACTTCGCCGCCTCCTGACCGGAGAGCTGTCAAAGTTACTTTTACACGGTGGAACTGCCAGAGTTCAGAAAGTTGTAGGGAGGAGAATCACCTCCCCGGGGATCAATAATAAAGGCCTTCAGGGGACGGTATGATTATTTGCTTTGGATTTTTTTTTCGGGGGTACAACAGAGGGGGGATTTGGGCGCCCCAGCAAAGCTGAAACTTGGGTTTTGTAAACCGTGAAGCTGGGCCAGAGACATCGTAAAGAAGACGGGCGGGATTGCATGGCAAGCCAGGCAGGCACCTGTGATTTCTCATCCACTGGGCAGCGACTGCCAGGCGCCTCTCGGAGGACACCTGGGACCTGCCTGTGTAGTAACTGACAGAGTGGTTATCTGTTTTCGCGACAGTTGAAGATGTTAGCTTGTGATCCTGCCTAAAATGAGAGTCCGGAAGCTCAGATTGTTTCCAAAAGTATTAATATCACACCTGACAGTGATTAAAAATAAATAAACAAAATTGCACACGAATCCCTTTCTGGAGACGCTTTCCAAAAGATGTAGAGTTCATACTCCCTGAGGATTAAATCAGTCTGTTTTTTATTCATTTTCTTATTTCTCTTCAACTATTTAGGAATTTTCCAAACCTGAGAAATTGGAACACAATATAACAAATACCCATAAGTTTATGTTCATTGGTAAAAGTCACACATTGCTCATTAGGCAGTTGTGAGACCCATGTAGTTGGGCAAACCTACATGGCAGGCTACTGTAGATTATGGGGCCACAGTTGAATAGTTGGCTTGTGTTGATGAAAACTTCATTATGCAAAGCATGACTATTTTGGTTCTTGCTCTTTCTCTGTCACGCCTATGTCCATGTGTATACACATCACATTTTAACTTCCTGAACTGCAGAAGTCATGACACTTTATAATTCGTCAGCTCAGAACTTCCGAAGCAGACGTGTGTTCTTTCATAGCCCCCAAATCACATTGCTTCTAAAATACTTACCACTGATAAAGGAATGTTAAATAGGCCTTATTTAATTTCTCTTTGGGTGTGTGGTCATGAGGGCAAGTCGTCCCCCCCCCCCAGGTGAGAGGCAGGGTTACAGGTGAACTGGTTGTGTGCTGTCTGACCTGGGAATCGAACTTGGGTCCTCTGGAAGAATGGCAATCACTCTGAACCCCTGAGCCATCTCTCCTTTGTTGTTGTTCATTTTGTTTTTGTTTTCATTTGGTGGGAGAAAGAGGCAATCCTTTCAGAAAGAAAAAGATAAATGGCCTAGTTGGCTGAGCAAAGGGCTATTAAAAGCTTTGCTAAGCCCAGGAGCTAATCTCTGCTGAGTGTGGTGGCTCAGTACTCTAACCCCAGCACTCGAGTCAGGAGCATCAGATGTTTGTGAGTTCAAAGTCAGCCTGGTCTACATAGCATGTTCTAGGCCAGCCAGGGCTACATAGACTTTGTCTTAAAAATAAATAAAAAAGAATCCCACATTGCATTTGATTGTCCCAACTCTTTAGTATTGTTTACACCAGTGTTTATTTCAGCTTTTCGTTTGTTTTTTGTTTTGATACTAACCTGGAACTCCCTGGGAAAAGCAGCAACTGCTCTTTTTTCTTTTCTTTTCTTTCTTTTTTTTCTTTTTTTTTTTTTTTTCCGAGACAGGGTTTCTCTGTGTAACAGCCCTGGCCTTTCTAGAACTTGCTCTGTAGACCAGGCTGGCCGTAAACTCCTCTGCCTGTGCTGGGATTCAAGGCGTGTGCCGCAGCCACCATCTGGAATAGCCACAACTGCTCTTTACTGCTGAGCCGTCCCTCCAGACTCCCTTCTAAAAATGTTAATCTGCAGTATGTATTTGAATTCCCTTCTGTTCTTCAGTGGATATGACACTGGAGAGTAAGTCCACCGAGACTCACTCCTGCATCAGGTGTCCAGTGTGGGCTCCAGGCTGGAGGCAAAAATATGTGTGAGGGTAAAGCCCTCAGTGATCACCATGTGCTGATCCCAGGGGCAATGCAGTACCCGCAGCCCTTGGCCTCAGGTTGGCCAGAGCTCAGCAGTAAACGTATCCGCTCCCTGCGGTGTCTCATTTTTATCTGGAATTCTGGTTATAATGGGCACTTGAAGCTGAACCCTAGTTTGAGACTCAAAAGACCTCACTAGGAATCTTACTCAGGGTCCCGAGGCTGCTTTCCTCTATTTTGGTCACACAGAAGAAAAGATTTCTCGTCATTTATGCCAACTCATGGCAGATCATGCCCTAAAATATCCTGTGGTTTCCCTGTACTAAAAAGCTTTGAATTGATTTTTTTTCTTTTTTAAAAACCCGGCCTTTGCAACTTAGCCATTTAGGATTCTGCCCAATTCTCATCCTGACTTGCTTAAATTTCTTTTGTTGTCTCTTTGTGCTTGTTTGTTTGAGACAAGGTCTCATCATGCAGCTGGGGTTGCCAAGAGAACCTGAGCCTTCCTAGAGCTGAGGTGAGGGCCTGCACCACCATGTCAGCCTTCCTAGAGCTGAGGTGAGGGGCTGCACCACCATGTCAGCCTTCCTAGAGCTGAGGTGAGGGCTGCTCCACCATGTCAGCCTTCCTAGAGCTGAGGTGAGGGGCCGCACCACCATGTCAGCCTTCCTAGAGCTGAGGTGAGGGCTGCTCCACCATGTCAGCCTTCCTAGAGCTGAGGTGAGGGGCCGCACCACCATGTCAGCCTTCCTAGAGCTGAGGTGAGGGGCTGCACCACCATGTCAGCCTTCCTAGAGCTGAGGTGAGGGGCCGCACCACCATGTCAGCCTTCCTAGAGCTGAGGTGAGGGCCTGCTCCACATGTCAGCCTTCCTAGAGCTGAGGTGAGGGGCCGCACCACCATGTCAGCCTTCCTAGAGCTGAGGTGAAGGCCTGCACCACCATGTCAGCCTTCCTAGAGCTGAGGTGAGGGGCTGCACCACCATGTCAGCCTTCCTAGAGCTGAGGTGAAGGCCTGCTCCACCATGTCAGCCTTCCTAGAGCTGAGGTGAAGGCCTGCTCCACCATGTCTGGCTTTTAGTTGTCGTTTGTCCCAATCAGGAATGACATTCGTTCTCTGAGGACAGGGAATTCACTAAAGTGATGTCAAATGGAGCAACACTGTTGTCACAGTTAAGAGTAGAGTCAGCTTGGAAGTCAGTTATTCATTCCCTGAACAAATATTTACTGATTGTTGTGTACCTGTTTATTTTTATTTTTAAGGTTTACTTTTACTTATGTGATTGAAAATATGTGTATGGGGGGGCTGGAGAGATGGCTCAGTGGTTAAGAGCATCGCCTGCTCTTCCAAAGGTCCTGAGTTCAATTCCCAGCAACCACATGGTGGCTCACAACCATCTGTAATGAGGTCTGGTACCCTCTTCTGGCCTGGAGACATACACGCAAACAGAATATTGTATACATATTAAAATAAAATAAATATTAAAAAAAAAAGAAAATATGTGTATGGATATATATATGTGGTCTGTGGGGGCCAGAAGAGGGCACTGAATCTCTGGGAGCTGGAGTTACAGGTGGTTGGTTGCCCAGTGTGGGTTTTGGAATATGAACTCTGGTTCTCTGCAAGAATAGCTATAGGTCATAACCGCTGAGTCATCTCCAGCCTTCCTGTTGTACTGGGGTATCTGTAAGAAAAGGCCTGGACAGACAAAAGCCCCTCCCGTATGGGTCATTGGTTCCAGTGGAGAGACAGAGAAAAATAAGGACACCATACCTGGTGATGAGGATGAGGCAGGATAAGGGGCAGAGTAAGTGGCTGAAGTGTGTCAAGGGATGGAGTGCTTTTTACATAAGGTGATCAGGGCCTGGTATGGTGGCACACACCTGTAAACATAGCTCTTGGATGGCTCGGTAGGACTGTTGTGCATTTGAGGCCAACCGTCCTGAGCTACATCCTAAATTCAAAGCTCTCCATGAGACTCTACTCTTCCATTGTCTGAAAGTGCTGTGTGTATGTATGTATGTAATTATGTACGAATGTATGTATTTTGCTCAAGATTGAACCCAGGGCTTTGATACCACCAGGAGCAGAGTAAATGCGGTGTGGGCATGGTGTCCTACTTGTAAACTTGGCGTCTGGGAGGTGAAGAAGGGGATCTCCAGAACAAGTTGGCTAGCTAGACTATCGGAATTGGTGAGCTTTGCATTCAAGTGAGAGACTCTGCCTCAAAGTATAAGGAGGGAGAGCAATCAAAGACATCCAATGGTAATCTCTGCCTCCACACATGTGCAGACACATGTACACGCACATGCCCCCACGTCCACACAGACAGAGGAACATATAAGGAGAAGGCCCTCCCCGATGTGACCCATCAGTCCTGGAGTCGCCAGCTTACAGAACTTGAGCCAAACAGCTTGTGTTCCAGCAGCAGAAAGCCAGCAATAGAGCTGCCAAGGAAAACACAGCTGATAATGCGCTGGCCTTGAAGTAAAGAAGAAGATGTTCTAAGACAGGGCACCATGTGTTGAGCCAGGGAATGAGAAGGACTCCACATCGATCAATAAATAGCTATTAAACAGTTGGTAAATCGAGGTGCAGTAGATTAAAAAGAAATCACTTAGTTTTTTTTAAGTGTTTTATAGATCTAAGTTTGCTATAGCTTTTAAAATCATGTAATCATCCCATCTGAGAGTGTTTTTATAAACTTCTCATTTAATGCCATAAAGCCTTCCTTCCTCCTCAAAGTGTTTTAAGTAGTAGTATACATGGCCCTACAGCAGCTAACACATAGTCTCAGGCTGTGACGGTTCCACAGACTAGACATTTAAACAGCCAGTTGTTTACTTGGTTCTGGAGGCTGCAGGTCAGATCTGGGTGCCAACCAGTGTCAGGTAAAGGTGAGAACTTCCTTTTTGCCTTTCAGAGAGCTGCCTTGTTACTGTGCCTTGGGGCTGGGGGCGGGAAAGTTGATCTTCTTCTCACAAGACAGTTAAAGGTAATGAACACTTTAATCCCAGGAGTCAGTAGGTAGAGGCTGGCGGATCTGTGGCTTCTATGCCAGCTTGGGCGACATAGTGGGACCCTGTCTCAAGCAGCAAACCATAGTGCTGTCAGAGTTTAGTGTGAATTTGGGGTATTCTCACCTTGCTGGTGTTGGGCTTTCCCCGGGTGGTTCCTTCTGTGTGTTCCTGGAGGCACATCCATGTCCATCCATTTGTCCACCGTGGGGCAGCAGCTGTCCTGCAGCCACCTCCTGCAGGCCCCGTGTTTCAGTGGTTATAGTTTCAGAGTGATGGGAGTCTAGCAGGAAAAAAAAAGCCCCAAAATGGTTTGACCTTTTTTTGTTTTATTTTGCTCTGCTTTGTTTTGGGACAGTATCTGTGGCCCAGGCTGACCTCGGACTCATAGTGATCCTTCTGCCTCGGCTGCCCAAGTGCTGGGGACTACGGGATGAGTTACTGTAAAAGCTTTGACACCCTTTTTAGCTGCAGATGGTCCCCAGACCAAACACTGTCAATTATTAGTTATCGTCAGCGGGCTCTGAACTCAGATGGGGCATTTGTGAGGTTTTCTGAAGAATTATCCAGGGGGCTGGAGAAATGGCTCAGCTGTTAAAAACATTGACTGCTCTTCCAGAGGACCCAAGATCAATTCCCAATACCCAACATGGTAGTTCACAACCATCTGTAATTCCTGTTCCAAGGACTTCTGGCCCCCTTGGGTACCAGGCATGTCAAAGACATACATGTAGGCAAAGCACCCATACACATTAAAGAAATATTTAAAAAAAATCACCTAGCCCCTAAAGTCGCAGGTTCAAGGTTTCAGAGACCACAGTCTGTGGTATGCTGGATGCAGTGTTTGGAGGCCTGTGGTGAGGCACCATGTCCTGATGGAGCAGAGCTGCTCACCCAGTGGCAGCCAAGAAGCAGAAGGAGGAAGGAGTCAGGACAAGGGATAGTCAAGGACCCACCCCTGGTGACCTACCTAGGACCTACCCCCTGCTTTCCACCATCTCCTGGACCAAGCCCTCAGTGTGTGAGCCTGAGGGGGCACTTCATATGCAGGCCTCAGTTCCTCATGAAGTAGTCCCGCCCACCTGAGTTTTTAATACCCTAATTAATAGGACATGGTAAAATTGCTATTTATTAACTTATTTTAAAGCAGTTTCAGTTTGTAGATATTTATTGGCTTGTGCTGACATAGTCAAAATATCATTTAGGACCTAATGGACTAGCTTGCCCTGCTTTCTTTCCCCTCTATTTTGCGAGTAGATGCAGCTTGTTGGGTTGGTCGCCTTTTTCTGTGAAGGGCCTACAGATTTCTCTCTTCTAAGCTCTGTAGACTATCGGTGTCTACCACTGATAACAGCCTTGTTTATGTTGTTGGAGAACTTTCATTGACTGCTCTTAGTGAGCAAGCTTGGCTTCAAAGAGGTCTGTGTCTATTAGCCCTACAGATGAGTTTAAACTAGCCCTCAGTAGAAACAGGAGATGCTGCAAGTGTAGCTTGTGAACCCTTCAAACCCCATCCGTGAAGCCTGGCCTGTAATACCTTCAGAGTTCAAGGCCAGCCTGAAATCCTGTCTCACTAAACCAAGGAACTGGAGAGGTGGCTCAGAGGTTAAGAGCAATTGTTGCTCTTGCAGAGGACCTAGGTTCAACTCCCAGCATCTATATGGTGGCTCACAACCACTCCAGTTCTAGGAGATACAATGCCCTCTTGTGGTCTCCATGGACACAAGCATGTACATGGTGCACATACAGACACATATGGTGGCGCACGCCTTTAATCCCAGCACTCTGGAGGCAGAGGCAGGCAGATCTCTGTGAGTTCAAAGCCAGCCTGGTCTACAAGAGCTGGTTCCAGGATACGCTCCAAAGCTTCAGAGAAAACCTGTCTTGAAAAACAAAAAACAAACACCAACAGCAAAACCACTAGAGAACAACTAAGTGCTGATGAGAATGGGAACAGAGGGCTCGGTGGCGTGGCTGGGCCTCACTGGGACAGTAGGTGACTCAGCTTCGCCTTTCTCTACCCTCACAGAGATGTGGTATGGTGTGTTCCTGTGGGCACTTGTGTCTTCTGTCTTCTTTCATGTCCCTGCTGGATTACTGGCCCTCTTCACCCTCAGACATCACAAATATGGTAGGTTCATGTCTGTAAGCATCCTGTTGATGGGCATCGTGGGACCAATTACTGCTGGAATCTTGACAAGTATGTTAGACATTAAAATACCAGTCAAAAATTTGTAGTGTGTTTGGTCACCTCATTTTAGAAATATGGGAGGGGGCGAGGAGGGGGTGAGAATTTAGCTCAGTGGTAGAATGCTTGCCTACTGAGCACAAAGCCCTGGGTTTGGTCTTTAGCACTGGGAGGGAAAAAGTGTGTGCTATGTGTGTGTTGCATGTGTGCACACACACAGTGAATTCTAGAGAGTTATGTTAGCTTATTAATTATTCCTTTTTGGGTTTTGCTTTGTTTTTTGTTTTGTTTTGTTTTGGTTTTTTTTTTGACTCTCAAGCCCCTTACCTGGCTCTTTGGCTTTTCAGGTCAGATTTGAAACTTTGTGAGGCAGGCCACTAGCAAAATAGAAATATCTGCAGAAGCAAAATATGCAGAAGCTTCAGCATCTTTTTCTTTCAATTTGACTTGACTCTTGCAAAAATGGTTCCCTAATTGCTACACTCTTTTGGGTGTGGTTCCTTTAGGGATGGAGAATAAGTCTATTGATAAGAATTCTTGATTAGAAAGATAAGTTGAGGGCTAGGGATGCAAAGCTGAGTGGCAGAGGTGACTCAGTGTCTGAGGCCCTGGGTTTGGCCCCAGCACCACACACCAAGGAAGGTCTGATTTGTGGTTTTCAATCCTCTATGCTCCCCCATGTGGCAAACTTTTCTTGCTGGACTATCTTTGGGTTTCCAGCCCCCAAATATCGACACATAGGCTTATTATTAATTATGAAAGCTTGGCCATTAGCTTAGGCTTGTCCCACTAGCTCTTATAACTTAAATTAACCTGCTTTTATTAATCTACATTCTGCCACATGGCTTGGTTACCTCTGCTCTGTACCAAATGTCTGACCTCTTCAGTGTCTTCCTGGCTTCTCACTGGCGTCATCAGGTGTGCCTAGGTTCCACCTCCTCTCTTTCCCTGGAAGTCCCACCTATCCTCTCCTGCCTAGCTATTGGCCATTTAGCTATTTATTAAACCAATCAGAAGCCGGGCGGTGGTGGCGCACGCCTTTAATCCCAGCACTCAGGAGGCAGAGGCAGGCGGATCTCTGTGAGTTTGAGGCCAGCCTGGTCTACAAGAGCTAGTTCCAGGACAGGCTCCAAAACCACAGAGAAACCCTGTCTCGAAAAAAAAAAAAAATCAGAAAGCACCTTGACAAAGACATATCTTCACAGTGAACAAAAGGATTATCCCACAACATCCCCCACCCCCAGACTTCCTAATTAGAGACTGGAGTAACATGGAAATTACAATTATTTTTAAACCTTCTTTTTTTGTCTTTATTTTGTCTCATGTCACTAACACAATTAGATAAGCTTAAATCATTTTTAAATTCATACTTACATAGAAACATATAAATTAAACATCATGAATCTAAAAATTATATATTAATAGCCACATGGTGTGGAATATATATATAATCATTTTTTTAAATATTTATTTATTTATTATGTATACAATATTCTGTCTGTGTGTATGCCTGCAGGCCAGAAGAGGGCACCAGACCCCATTACAGATGGTTGTGAGCCACCATGTGGTTGCTGGGAATTGAACTCAGGACCTTTGGAAGAGCAGGCAATGCTCTCAACCTCTGAGCCATCTCTCCAGCCCCTATAATCATAAATGTATTTATAAAACATAGATTTCTAATTGGTCACCTTATTTTATTTTCCCTGTGAATTTAAACGCTGAGCTTTGAGAAGAAATACCTGTTTCTTTCTTTCTTTCCTTTTCTTTTCTTTCCTTCCTCCCATCCATCCATCCATCCTTCCTTTTCTTTCAGGTACCACAGCCGAGTTTCTCTGTGTTCTAACTGTTCACTTAATGCTGCAGTATCCACACCGAATTTCTGGTCCCTAGACGAGTCTCCTATCAGTAAAGCAGGGATGCACTCCCCACCCCACATCCTTGAATGCTGATTAGATGAGATGTCTCCATGCGTAGTCGATAGAGTACCTGGCACAATAGTTGGCACATAGTAACTGAATATGTGCTCATTTCCCTTTTTAGGATTTGGGGTAGTTTTCTTGTTTTTCTTTCCTATCCTCTGTAGTCTTTTCCTTTCTTCCCTCATCATCCATGTCTCCTGTGAAGACCCAGATCAAGTTCCTCAGGCTTCTCTTTTCCTCTTCAAGGAAGCTCAGTAACAGAGGCCCCATGAAAGTTGCGCTCTGAGACATTAGTGGCATTGATTGCCACTGGAGGCAGAGTTAAATATCTCGCCCTGTTTGCTTGTTAAAACACATTTCTAATATCTCATGTCACAGTCTAAGAATGTATAGTCTTCCTTTCTTTTTGGGATGCTGAGAACGGAAGCCATGGCCTTGTGCATGCTAAGCATATGCTTTATCATTGACCCACGCCCCCATCCTACCTGTAGACACTTGACTGAGTCAACTGTGTTCTGTGAGTTCCTGTGAGTCTCAGGTGGATAGCTGGGTCGACACCCGTGTTTGTGCAGAATGTTAGATGGTGGGGGTGTCTGGGTCTACACAGGTGTTTATGCAGAATGTTAGATGGAGGGGGGGGGTCTGGTCTACACAGGTGTTTCTGTGCTCTCACTCTCCAGGACCTTGTAGTGACTGTAATAAGGAAAACAGTGCCCCGGGAGACAGAAGGGACCCTGAGGTCTCTGCCCTGGTGCCCTTTGAATAGCTTTATGGCTCAGAGCCCTATTGCTTTCTCTCTCCTTTCTTTCTTCCTTGAATGGTGGAACCCTCAATATAATAGCAAGTGGAGCTGGGGTTCCCTGTAGCCTGGAAACATTTCTTTTTAAAAAAAATATTTATTTATTTATTATGTATACAATATTCTGTTTGTGTGTATGCCTGTAGGCCAGAAGAGGACACCAGACCTCATTACAGATGGGTGTGAGCCACCATGTGGTTGCTGGGAATTGAACTCAGGACCTTTGGAAGAGCAGGCAATGCTCTTAACCTCTGAGCCATCTCTCCAGCCCTGGAAACATTTCTTGATCTGTCTCAGTAGATTGCTATTTATTGCCAAGAACATAGTTGGTGCCCATTCAGTGATAGGCATGGTGTTAGTTGGCACAGGAATGAAGAGAAATGTTGGCCCACAAGGAAATTGCTGCCTTGTCTTTCCCTCGACTGTCACTTCCAATCACTCAGTAAATATGACAGCCTCAGTCTTAGGGAGTACAAATGTAAATGCTGACTGCAAACCACATAAAGAAAGTTAGTGTGTTCACCAGAAAGGATGGGGAACACAAACTTCTTCCTTAATTAAATGTAAAAAGTTTGTCTCCCAATAGTGAAATTTTAAGTGTTATAGTTTTGTGATGTCATTAATCTCAGGTTTTGTTTTACTAATTAATTTTTTTCTCTTTTTAACACAATTCCATTTGAACTAGGTGCAGCAATTGCTGGGGTTTACCGAGCTGCGGGAAAGGAGATGATCCCCTTCGAAGCCCTCACCCTGGGCACTGGACAGACATTCTGTGTAGTGGTGGTCTCTTTTTTACGGGTTTTAGCCACTCTATAGCATATAGCCTTTCGCTGTGATGGCACAGCTGCCTTTTATAGACTCCTTCAAAGGCAGAGACAGTGTCGTGGTCTCTTCATTCCTCAAGTGGAAACAACTTGGAGGCGCCAGAAGGTAAAGAACACCGCAGCTGTTTCCTCAGTGTGAAGCTCCAGCCACTGAAGACCCCTGTGGACGGACTCCTCTCTTTCTCAGCCAAACCAAGCTCCTTGGCTTTCTCTTCTTGTGGCTGTTTAGGTTTTACATGCACACCTTTACCTAAGCCAACAATGCCTCAAGTTTGCATCTTTTGAACAGGAATTTGCATCATTATTTGCAAATATGCAACATTGCTGTTTCATAGAAACAGTGGACAATGCTGTTTAATTTTAAGGGAGTAGGCTGCACTCTACTAAAAGCGTATCGTCATGACAGTAGGCCGAGTTTCCTGGGCTGAGTATCGCTCTGGGAATGAACTGGCTGAGTGTAACAGGAAGAAGACCTGAAGTCCAGTTCAAAGTAATGGCTTTGCTTCCACTGTCAAAAGTAGGTGACCACTGAGAATGTGACATTTTATGGATAACTATTTTTGACCTCTGATTATTTAATATATTTTAAGAGATGTGAATTTATCATTTGATCAAAATAAGCTAGCTAATTGAGATTTCTTATTTTTTTTAAAGATACAAGGTCTTGCTTTGTTACCCAGGCTGGCCCAAACTCCTGGGCTCAAGTGATCCTCCTGAGTAGCAGGGACAATAGCATCACTGTCACACCTAATTGAAGCTCTTTTTCCAAAGAACTGCCATGATGCCTTTACCTGTCACATTTAATGCTATCCATTTTATTTACTTTCTCTGGAAACATGTTCTTAAGTGGCTTGAGTTGGACTTGAGAACCAGGTTAAGATACTATTTGGACATTCAGGCAAAATAAGACACTTACAGGATTTTGTTACAGTTTTCTTCCTGACTTTAGTTTATTTGATGACTCCAAAACTTGCAGCCGAAATGAGTTAGGGGCCATTGGTTCCTTTCATGTTTACCTAGCACTGGTCCCTCAGCCCACTTTTGCAGTATTGGAGTATCAACTCCCAGAAAGTGCCTAAAACTTCCTCTTCATATACATCCCATCTGGTCTTTTTATTTTTATTCAAGAGAATTTTTATCCTTAAAGAGACATAGTTTTAAACCTAATTTTAGCTGTTTAGTTTTTAACTCTACTGCCTATCCTTGTTTTTCATTAAAAAGGCCTATAAACTGTGACCTTCAGAAGGGAAAGGGGTATAAATGTGTGCACCTTCCATCATTGTAACGGTTTTGTACAAAGTACAATGTTCTTGTTGTTACCCGTTTTCAAAGTAGCTTCTGGTAATTAACTCTGACATTTTTAAAGGCAAATTTTCATTGAGAGATAAAGGCTGTCATCCTATGAGAACATAAATGTATCTTAAAGCAATATGCTTTTGGCTTCTGGTTAAAAATAGCCAGGAGAAGGCTAGCAAGATGGTTCAGCAGGTCAAGGTACTTACCTCTAACCTAAGTTTGATTCTCAGGACCCACATGGTGGAAAGAGAGAACCAACTCCTGCAAGTTGTCCTCTGATCTCTATATGTTGTTCACACACATAAATTGATACATGTAATTTAAAAGAATTTTTTTAATAACTAAGAGGACGTCTGTGGGTACCTGCACTTATGTGCACACTCCCTGTCCCCCACGTGCACAGCATTTTAAAATGAGATAAAGTAGCCAAGAGGGTCAGTTTACCCAGGAATGGCAAGGGGAAAGATGCAGGGATGGCCGCAAAAATAACCGGTTCTTTCCACTTGTTAAAACTGTAGTGACAGATCAGCTTTGGCAGACAATTAAAGTGCAGATAAATGGCTCTTAATATTCCCCAGAAATAAGAGCAAATTTTTCTTCCCAAAAAAGGTTTTCATTTTTGGTCTCAGGGGCTGTGAATTTGGAAAGCGTTCTTTCAGTTGGAGAAACTGAAGCGTGGTACCCTGCATTCTGGGAAATGACAGCATCGTCTATGGAAGGACACCTTAGAGTCCTCACTAAACATTCTTGGGGATATAATTTCACACCCTAAGCACATAGATGAATCAGTGCTGAGCTGTTCCCCCTAAATAAATAATAACTTCTGAGCATATTCACCCATGATTAAAATGTTAGGTTATTTGTATTTACAACCAAGACACAAAAATTAGGGGGTTTTGAAGGGTGTTTTTGCTTCCATCTGTTTCTTGTGTATATTTTATCTGCTCTCTAAAAAAGAAAACCAAAAACTTGAGCTGTAAAATGTATCTTCAAATAACCGAGTGTGTCCTCTAGCCCAGTGTGTATGAAGCACTCTTTGTGAATAAATGCATATAAACTATAGACTGAGCTTTGTGAAGGCTTGAAATGTTCTCAGGAAAGAACCGTTTGGATGATAAAGAATGCTTTCCACTTTGATCCCTTTTTGTCTTCTTCCTCTTGTCTCAAATGCAGATTTATTTGCATGGTTGTGTTAAACACATCTCCTTCTACAGTTTCTTCAGGTCTTGTCTCCCGGTCAGGGCTTTCTCAGACCCTGATTCCTGCAGTTAAATCTCCACTTCTCACCTTCTCCTTTTCAGTCCTGAGATAGCGAGGCAACCCCCAACCAAAAAGCTCATCTTTTGGGGCTAAAAATTAAGTTCATGAACAAAAGTGTATTGATTGTAATGTGAGCAAGATGTACCTCTGAACTGTTAACTTCCTCTGGCGCAGGATGCTCCTCAGGAAATGCCGGGACTAGTGAGAAGCAGTTCGTGCAGATAAAGGCATCCTTCCTGTGTCCTTAAGGTTTTTAAATTGTATGTTGGCTTTTGATTCCAGTGCCCTTCTGACTGCCCTAGTTTTTGTTAAGTTCTTGTGACACCGCAGGACACGCTAACCTTCCTTAAGGAACTGACTGTTTCCTGGAATGTGAAGCCCTGGTGCCGTTAGTGTTCCATGTGCAGAAGGTTTCGGGACCTCGTGTTTCTCTCTTGTACACTATGTAAGGCTGGTTATGACCAAAATCAGCTCAACTTTTTATATTAGGTGATTGCACTTAACTGTTATAGTCCAAGTGATCAAATCTTTGTACATTAGAAACTTATTTAAATTTTATTTTTCTACTGACATTTCTAATGCTAGCATAAATGTTTATCAATAAAGAATTACTTTAAATTCTTTGAGTTGGGATTGTATTTTTTGTTTGTTTTTAGATTTTATCTGAGGCAATGTCTTCCCACATCCAACTCTTCACTATAGGCTAGGCTGGCCTTGAACTTTTGGCAGTCTTCCCCCCACATGCTGGTATTACAGCTGCAACTACCACACTCGCTCTGGAGTTGCCTTTTTCTTTTCTTTTCTTTTTTTTTTAACCTCTTCCCCCACCCCACTTATTTATTTTTGGGCAGGGTCTCACTATGCAGCCATGACTGACCTGAAACTTGTTTAAGGCTATCCTAAAACTCAGATCTGTTTACCTCAGCCTCCCAAGTTCTGGGATTAAAGGCATGTGCCATTGTGACTGGATTCCATCCCCACCCCACCTCCCATTTTAAATTTGTTTATTAGTGGGAGCAAGGGCAGATGCTTGTCGTGGCGTTATTATCAGTAGAGGTTGAGGACAGTGTTCAGAAATCAGGTCTCTCCTTCATCCACGTGGGTCCTTGGGATCAAACTCCAGTCAGACTTGGTCATGGACCATTTTGCCAGCTCCTGGAATTACATTTCTACTGTAATCTTTTATAATAAAATTATGTATGTTTTAACTGTATTTTTCTTATGTTCAACTTTATTTTTTTGATTTTTGGTTTTGTTTGTTTCTCTATGTAGCCCTTGCTGTCCTGGAACTTACTTTGTAAACCAGGCTGGCCTCAAACTCACAGAGATCTGCCTGCCTCTGCTTCTCTAGTGGTGGGATTAAAAGCGTGCGCCACCACACTCAGCTACGATTTTTAAAGCATACAGTAAGTACACAGATCTTGACTGTACAATGCATATGTATGTATGTGTGTATATGTGCATATGTGTGTACTTATGTGACCACTAGTCAGATCAAGAGACATGTTTCTGGATGGGCAGTGGTGGCGCATGCCTTTAATCACAGCACTCGGGAGGCAGAGGCAGGCGGATCTCTCTGAGTTTGAGGTCAGCCTGGTCTTCAAAAGCTAGTTCCAGGACAGGCTCCAAAAGCTACAGAGAAACCCTGTCTCGAAAAACAAAACCAAACAAAAAAACAAAAAGAGAGAGAGAGACATGTTTCTGCCATTCTGGAAGGATACAGAATATCAGGTATGGACAGTCAGGGTTCAACCGGAAGTCCCCATGACTATATGGACCTGAGACATAATGAAAGGAACTTTCAGGGGAGCTAGAGAGATGGCTCAGAGGTTGAAAGCACTGACTGCTCTTCCAGAGGTCCTGAGTTCAGTTCTTGGAAACCGCATGGTGTCTCTCAACCATCTGTAATGAGATCTGGTGCCCTCTTCTGGCAGGCAGGGATACATGCAGACTGAACACTATACATAATAAATAAATAACATCTTTTTTTTTTTTTTAAAGGAAGTTTCAGTTTCCATAAAAGTGACAACCAAGCTTGAATGTGGAAACTGGAAGATGAAGAGCAAAAGGTGCTGAAATTGGCAGGGATGATCCCTTAAATCATTGCCAATCTAAAATAAGGCAGAGTGTGATTGAGGAAAACATCCAGTACCAACCTATAGTTCCACATATGCATGAGCACAGTCACACACACACACAAACACGCATGCACTTCTGTGCACCGGTGAGTATGCGTATACCACACACAGGTATACCTCCTCAGATAGGTATGCGACTCAGGCCAGTGATCTCAGTGCGCAGATGTAAATGGATACTGCCTGTTCGTTTCCGGGCTGCCAAGAACCCAATAATCACACAGAAAACTATATTAATTACAACATTGTTTGGCCTATTAGCTCAAGCTTCTTATTAACTAACGTTTATATCTTAAATTAACCAATTTCTATTAATCTATGTATCACCACAAGGCTGTGGCCTACTGGTAGGTTCCGGTGTTTTTTTTCTCTTGACAGCTACATGGTACCTCTGACTCTGCGCTCCCCTCTCTCTCTCTCTCTCTCTCTCTCTCTCTCTCTCTCTCTCATTCTGTTCTGATTTCCCACCCGGCTTTGCTCTGCTAAGCCATTGGTCAAAACAGCTTTATTCATCAATCAATAAAAGCAACACATACACAGAAGGACACCCCACATCACTCAGAGTCTGAGGCAAGAGTACTGTCACAAGTTTGAGGGTGAGTTTAGGCCATTTTGGGCTACAGAGGCTCTTTCTTTTTTCTTTTTTTCTTTTTTCTTTTTTTTAATATTTATTTATTTATTATGTATACAATATTCTGTCTGTGTGTATGTCTGCAGTCCAGAAGAGGGCACCAGACCTCATTCCAGATGGTTGTGAGCCACCATGTGGTTGCCGGGAATTGAACTCAGGACCTTTGGAAGAGCAGGCAATGCTCTTAACCACAGAGCCATCCCTCCAGCCCCCCAGAGGCTCTTTCTTAAAGAATGGAAAATGAGAATCTCATAACTACTTGACACTATGCAATAGTCTCATACTGGTTGGGAATTTTAGGTGGGAATCAGACCTTCATTCAGTGTTAGGAGAGATGAGGGAGCATTGCTGGTGAACTTTTTTGGAGCCTCCCCTCCATGATAGGCTACACGATTGGTCACAGGGGTGTTTATAATATCCAAGGATAATAAGGCCAAGAATAGTGAAATTCAAAAGACTATGTTTAAGGCTTTCTATTATCCTATTATTTTCAGATACGTCTGTTTTAGGGCCAGCAAGATGTCTCAGTGCATAAAGACACTTGCCACCAAGCCTGACGATTTGAGTTCAATCCCTGGGACCCACAAAGCAGAAGGAAAGAGCAGAGCCCTGTAGATTGACCTCTGATCCCTGCATGTTCATGATGCAAGCACCTGCAAGAGGGCACACACACCAAACAGAAAGTTTTAAAACAAAAGCCTGTTTCAAGGAATCTTAGCCCTAAATGTAAGAACTAAAACTCTCCAGCCTTAGAAGGAATCCAACATAAGAGCCATGATCATGGCTTAGGCAGTTTTCTTAGAATACTCAGAACATTCAAGGAAGACACAATAATAGATAGACTAGACTTCATCAAAACTAAAAATTCATGTTCAAAAGGAATTAGCTGTGGGTTTTTTGCTCCCTCTCACCAGCGGCTGGGTTGGGGAGGGGAGGAGGGAGTCGTGATGAGTTTCCCAGGAAGCAGACTCCAGAGACCAGACGGAGCTGCAGATCTGGTTCAATGTGCATGTTCACTGGTATATATGCAAACATTACCAATCAGTTCAGGTCATATCAAATCGCTGTTCAATCAGTCCAAATAACATGCAATCCGTGGTGTGTGTTGGGGGGCAGTAAGTCCAGGCAGTGTGTCTGCAGACAAAGGGCAGGAAGCAGGCAACGCCCTGAGTTTTGGCGCCAAATTAGAGGGTCTGCAGTTAGTTGGGACTCCATCATGAGTCATCTGGTGTTCCAGACTCAGGTCCTGCTCAAACAGCCGCAGGAGGTGTTGGCGCGGCTCACACCATCTGTCCTTTAATGACACCATCTGAAAAGAGACTGACCCCTCAATTACCAAGAAGTGCAAAGAGGCCTCAGGAAGATTGGAGGAACTGTTCTCTAAACAGAGATATGGAAGACATACCCAGGATACTAAAAGTACTTATGCTGTCACTAAAACCAGTTGTAAAATGGGAGAAAATTCTGAGGAGACTTGGCGTGTGTGTGTGTGTGTGTGAGAGAGAGAGAGAGAGAGAGAGAGGGTTTCACTGTGTATCCCTGGCTGGCCTGTAACTCACTGTGGGAGCCAGGACTGGCTTTCAACTCACAGAAATCTGTCTACCTCTGCTAGGGTTAAAGGCATGTACTACCACACCTGACTGAAAAGGCATTTTTTTTTTCAAAAAACATATACAATGACCAATAAGGACATGATATTTAACATCTTTTGTCATCAAGGAAATATAAATCAAGACTCTAACAAGATGCCATTTCATAGTCTATAAAAAAGACAACATAGGGTGTTGGCAAGGATGTAGACAGAGAAATGAGTTCTCATATGCTGCTGTTGCTGCTGATACAGACAGGGCATCCCCTTGGAAAACAGTCTGGTAGTTCCCCAAAAGGAAAAACATTACATGAGGACCCAATTCCGTTGAAAACACCCTGCTAAGGCAACCACTGTATATTCTGTTTATGTGAAATGTCCAGAAAGGCAAATCCACAGATACTGGGGATTGGGTGGAAAATGGGTGTAAGTACCTGAGTTCAAGGACAGCCAGAGCTACGCGGTGAGACCCTGTCTCAAAAAACAAACAAACAACAAAAAAGCTCCCTTGAATGATGTGCCTTGAAAGCTTTAATTATACCTTGACCAAGGGGCTGGTTGAGAAAGGCTGTGTTTGAGGCATGAAAACGAAGATATCTGTGGCTTTCAGGTTCACATTATGGTTTTCTTTCTTTCTTTCCTTTTTTTCTTTTTTCCTTTTGAGACAGGGTTTCTCTGTGTAGTCCTTGCTGTCCTGGAACTCACTGTAGCCTCCTAGTCTCAGATCAGCTTGCTTTTGTTTCCTCCGGAGTGCTGAGATTAAAGGCGTGCGCCACTGCGGGCACATTACGGTTTTCTGACCGGCACCTCACGAATCTACGAATTTTTCAAATTTTTATTCTTATGTGTACATACCTGCATGTGTGTATGTGTGTCTACCATGTGCCTGGTGCCCACTGAGGTCAGAACTCCAGCGTGGTTGCGAACCATCAGTGTAGTACTGAGAACAGAGCCCAGGTCCTCTGCAAAAGCAGCAAATACTTTCTTAATCTTTGGGCCATCTCTCTAGACCCCACAAATCCACACATTTAATTGCCCTTCCAACTTTCCCATTGCTTCATCATGTACTATAGGTGTCAATTTAGCACTTTGTGCAGTGGCTTCACTCACAGACGAGCAGATTTCTTTTCTCTTTAGTTATTACCCGATTGTTGATTCATTAACAAAGAACTCGCGGCCAACAACACTTATAACACAGGCCAGAACGCAACTAACTTAGGCAGATTTCCTCAGTAAGACACATCGCAGCCTTCTTGCG